GGGGGGACCACTGCTGCAGACCCAAGTCCCCCCCACCCCCCAAAAATGGTCCCTCCCGGACCCAGGCCCCTGGCGTGTGTGGGTGTGTGTGCGTGTGCATGCCGTGTTCGTGTGTGCAAGGGGCCGGGGAGGGGGGCGTGCGTGTGCGTGCCTGCGAGGGCTGCTGTGGGCGTGTGCGTCGGGTGGGCCACGCGTGCGGTGTGTGTGTCTTAAGTGCGAGCGTGGTGGGCGGCCCCAGCGGCCTGGGCATTGGCTGAGTCGACACTGGGGCTTCCACAAGGCCGAGGGCCTCCGAGGCGCCGGTTAGGAGTCTGAACCACCCCCTGCCCCCTGCAGAGGGAAGGGGGACGGTGCCGGGGTTCCAGGCAGGGAGTCGGGGAGAGCCTGCCCAGAAGTCCCATCGGCAGTGGCTGTCTAAAGGGCTTGGGGAGGCCTGGGGGGAGGTGGAGGCGGGCAGGCCCCCCTGTAAATACGGCCCCGGGGTGGTCAGAGAGCCCCATATCACCCGTCCTCTTGTGACCTCCCCCCTTTGACCTCCGGCTGACCATGCATGCCACGTGGCCAGCCGAGTCCTGGACCCTCGCTGGAGCTTGCCTCCCCAGCCCCTCCCCATCAATAAACTCTGTTTACAACCACCGGCCCCCACGGCTCCGGCTCTGCTCTGTCTCCTGGGGGTGGCTTGAGGCAGTTGGCCAGGGCGAGACAGAAATCTGGGGACCTGGGTGTGGACATATGGAGAGTTGTGGGGGGGTCTCCATCTTCGTCTGGATGGAGGACAGTTTCTGTTTCTTTAGCAAATACCTGCCATGTGCCCGGCACTGTGTGAGAACAGAGAGCCCCGCCCTTATGGAAGTTCAGAGCCTAGGGGGGGGGGGGGGGGGTGTGGACCAATAACATACAAGCAAATTAAACCTTGATTTGAGCTAGTTGTGCAAGAAAAAGCAAGATGACCAGGTGCAGAGGCTCACGCTTGCAATCCCAGCTCTTTGGGAGGCTGAGGCGGGAGGATTGCTTGAGGCCTGAAATTCCAGACCAGCCTGGACAACATAGCAAGACCCCATCTCTATGAAAAATTTAAAAAGTAGCTGGTGCAGTGGTACATGCTTGTAGTCCCAGCTACCTGGGAGGCCGAGGCAGGAGGATCACTTGAGCCCAGGAGTTGGAGGCTGCAGTGAGCTCCGATGACACCACTGGACTCTAGCCCAGGCAACAGAGCAAGACTCTATCTCAAAAAAAAAAAAAACAAAAAAATAAACCACAATAACAACATGCCATGAATTGAATACAAAAGGATTTTTGTTCTTTTCAATGAGTTTCCTGGTTGTTGTAGTTTATCATGAGTAGTGCCTCTTACTCGAGTCCCGTCCCCCAGGGGTCGTGCCTTGCAACCTTGACCCTTGAATCCTGGGTTGGGGGAAGTGGGGTCACAGCTAGAGAGACTCGAGTGCTCCCCAGAAACAGGAAGCAAGGGAAGGAAAACTTGGCTTTAGAAGCGGGGCCAGGAGCGTGGTGGGCAGGAACAAATTGCCAGGAAGCAATTTTGCAATTCTAACCCCTCCCCTTCCCTGCCCCGGGCTCCGGGTCAGCCCTGATCGGGAACTGGCGGAGGGTGGGGACTTCCCCAAGGTTGATTCTCCTGATCCCAGCCCCGGCAGGTATAAGGCCACTTCCCCAGGCCAAGAGAGCCTAGAAGGAAACGAGACGGGCCACCATGTCCTTTTGGAGCGGACAGCAATACCAGAGGTAGGTCCCTGCTCTCCCCGTCCTGGGCAGGCCTGGACACCGGGCCATGCAGAAACACATGGACACTCCACCTGGCCCACTAAAGTCACAGGGGGCAGATACAGTCCTGCAGGCTGGAACAGACCAACCCTAACCCTGACAGACAGACTCAATCCTACACACACAGACACACCTGCAGGAGCCCAGGTGGGCCATCGGCCAGGCAGGGAGTGGGAGGAGAGTCCTGTCAGAGGCCGGGGCCCAGTGACCAAGGCTGTCCAGGTGATACCCCATGTTGCCGGGCCAGGGAAGCCGCAAGCCTTCAGGGGTTACGGTGGCAACTGTCTCCCATCCAAGTACTAACCAGGCCCGACCCTGCTTAACTTCCGAGATCACACGAGATTGGGGCAC